TATATATATATATATATATATATATGAATATATATATATGAATATATATTCATAATACTATGAAAGTATTTTCACAGCTGTCTGTATGTCATATGTTTACTTTAGATTTCTATATGCAAGACGTATTACTGTTTAAAACTAGTCATCTCGTGATAATTATTTAGTAACAGTAAAGCATTTCATAACTTCTTGTGCAACTTCTTGTGAATGAAATGGAACACATATTTAAAGCAAACATAGATAATTAAGAATGTTATGCTGTAATTTGCCATTGTTGTTGCTCCAAAAGAATATGTTTTCACTGGAAACCAGATATAGTACCAAAATATGACAATGATGTCATTCACCCATTTTGCAAGTGAACATATTGTTATTCTGGGACATTTTGCCTGACTTTCTTATTAAGAAATTGTTTTTGTGGCCAAGTCATTACAATTAGCTTTTGAGTAGAACAAGGTAAGTACTGTAGCTACTAGAATGCATTGTAAGTGTCCACTGATATGAAAGGCATTGTTTAAAAAACTGTTAGCCTGATCCATCAAGTGACTTCTTGCATCTGCCAGATTCTAGTCTGCCCATATTTTCCTTGATATGTGCATGATTTTTCCATGGACATTAAAATTATATGTCTTAGGCAATTAATTATTTGCCATCAAGAAAATCAATTTGGTGCTACGGTTCCATGAGATTTTGCATGGTTTCCATTTATTCATTCGATATTTAAGCCACTGCAATATTGTGACTTACTGTGATTTACATAAATATTGTTACATTGAAACATTTGCAACCTGATTTTAACAAAATTGTTTACAGAAATAAAATATTTACAATAGAATCTAAATTGGTGAACTTGTACAAACAAGAAGCACCTTTAAAATAAACATAACACTAATTTTATTTTTTTAACTTTGCTTTAAATAAAGCTAAGTCAACCATATTTCTAAATGGGAAGCATGATAAATCTAAGTAGGCATACAAACTGGTTCTCTAGTTGCTGGCTGTCAACTTGGCCATATGGTAACTTTTTTCTATACCAGTTTCAAAATGGAAATATATTCATTTAAGATACGATTATCAATGGCACCTAGTCATGATGAGGGTTCTTCCAGGGTCAGAGGCAGTACCTGAATGCCAATCACAAATGATGAACTTTGGGCTTTTTAGAGCATCTGACTGGCCACTGTATCAAATGACACAATAAATTAGACAGGCATACAATTTAATCCAGGAGAGCTCTTAAATTCAGCGCTTTCCTACATGTATAGTTTTGTTAACACTTGAAGAGGGATGCTGGCAGATATCAAAGGCTTATTTCCTTCTTTACAAGCAGGATGGAAAGGAAAAGAGAGAGATAAAAAGAAAAGTTGGTCTCCCCTATTTTCACCTGTCACACTCTCTGCTCTATGAGGTGGGTGGGAAGGAGAGGGGAGCTTGCCCTTCCTGAGACAGACAGACAGACAACGTGACCTGCAGATCAGCTTCCTACATTTCTCTTGGGTATTGCCAAGGAAGGGGGGGGGGAGGCAGGGCCGTGGAAAATCATGAAACAAAATCAAACTTATGCATTAAAAAAATCAGTCCGGGGGTGGGTTTTTTTTCCATCTGCAAAACGTGGAGGTGGCTGCGATGCCACCCACAGATTAAAGGCGCCTTTTCTCTTCTTCGGAAGCCCGTTTGGGCATGAAAGTTGGGACGACGCATTGCGCCCGGAGATCGGATTTCTGCTAGAGCCAGCGGAGACCTCGATCGGATCCTCCAATACTTGGGAATTGAAGGGCAAATAGCCCCTGACCCTTACGCGCCTAGTAGCTGTTTAAGCGCCGTTCGGCCAAGCAGCGAGCTCCAGCCGGACCGCAGCTGTGGGTGTGCGAAACGGGGACGGGACATCACCCTGCCGGGCGGCAAGGGAAGGTATCCTGCTGGCAGGAGGTCCGCTTCCTGCTCCTCCTCTTTCGGCTGTCGTTTTAACCGGCTGCCTCTCTGGGCGAAGCAGAAGCTCAGCGCGGTGAGTAGGAAAGGAGAATAAGAGGTTGGGGGCCGGCCGAGCCGGGGAATCCCCTGGAATGTCGCCCGCCGGTGGGTTGCCTCGCTGCGGGCAGGGGACTGTGAAGGCTCGCTCGACTTCTCCGGAAGGGGGAAGATTGCCTTTTGGCGGGCCTTCCTAGCCGCCTTTTCTGACCTCTAGTAGTAGTAGCAGCACGTCGCCCGGGTCCTCCGCCTTCAAAGCTGGGGGCGGAGATGGGCTGGCGAATGACGGAGTCGCCCCCGAGACGAGGTTTCCTTCTTTCTTTGGTTGGGAGGTCGGTGGCCTCCCCCGTGACGCCGGCTAGAACACTCTCTATCCTTAGCTCTATCGAGGTGCTGCTGCTTTGGAAAAGCCCCGGAGCTGGGAGCTTGCTCAGCCCTTGAGGCCGACCGTAGCCCCTCCCCGTTTTGTTAAGTGCTACTGAGATTTGTGTTGAAGGCCTGGATTGTAAGGGTTTGTGGGGCGGGGCGGGGAGGGAGGAAGGACGGGGAGGGAGGAAGGAAGCCTCGGTGGGTGAAACGGTGTTTTCTGGTGTGTGTGTGTATACAATACACATACATACATATATATGAATCACACACACCACACAAAATAAGCCCTCCCCCAAATATTGCAACATAGCAGCAGCCATGAGGTGACCATGCTCGCTGCCTCTAGCACGTCAAAAATAATAATAAGACCTTCCCAAAAATAAGGCCCTTCTTTCGGAGGGGGAAAAAATAAGACCCTGTCTTATATTTGGGGAAACATGGTAAGTGTGTCTCACCGGCATTGACTTCTCAACCAATGATGTGCAGGTTTGTATTGTGGTGTGGCCTCTAAAAATGTGGAAAGCACTGTTTTCGTAGGCAACATAAGGCCTTGGCAATCTAATGTTCCCCCTTGACAACCGCATGCTGGCTCTGCATCATATTCCAGCAACTATATTCCTAAGGGTTTTCTTAGGAAATTTGAGACGGAACCAAATTGCGCAAATTTTTATTCTGTTTGTCCCTTTCTTTAAGGAATATATGAATTATATGAACAATCTACTGGGAGAGATCTGTATCATAATCTTGATTATATGAACAATCTACTGGGCCATAGTCTTTAAGAAGGAAATGCATGCTGTGTCCATTGGCTGTTTATCCGCTAAGCAGTGTCTTCAAAATATTCTCTCACTCTTACTTTCTTAAACCTGCCAGGCCTCTGCAATATGTTTTGATACACCCACTGATGGCTGCTCCAAGTAGCAGTAGCGGAAAAACAGCCTTCCAGAGAAATACCAATCAGAGTATCTTTGATTTAGACAGCTGTTACAGATTTGTAAGCTGACTTGTCTGATTATGTGGCCTACTGCTGCTATGCGGTAGGTAAAGTCCCAAAGCTGCTTTTTCAAAAGGCAACTAGACTTCTCTGGTTTTTCCCTAACCCTAACCCTAACCCTTTCACTTCAGCTCTGGCTGGATGGTGGGAAGGATTTACACTCTTTATACAAGGCAGGCCTTCCTAGGAGTGTAAATCCTTCCATTTTCCACCATCCAGCGAGAGCTGAAGAAGCTTCTGGGATGAGAAGTGAAACGTCTTCAAAGAAAAACCAGAAAGTCCTGAAAAAGCACCTTTAGGACAACCATGACCCGGATGACTGAGAATCTCCATAGACATGTAGATAAAGTTAGGTGGTGAAAATTATTATAATCTTCTAGGTACCGTATTTTTCAGAGTATAAGACACACCTTTTTCCCTCAAAAAGAGGCTGAAAATCTGGGTGTGTCTTATACACTGAATACAGCATTTTTTGCCTCCCGAAACCCTGTCCCCTTCACCAAAATGACCGTATATAGCCTTTAGAAGGCTTCCAGAATGCTCCTGGGGCCTGGGGACAGCAGAAGTCAGTGAAAAATGGGCTGTTTTTTGCTCATTTTTGCACTCTCCAGCCCACAGGAGCACTTTACAAGCCTCTTAAAGGCTATTCATGCCCTTTTTTTTGAAGAAAATGGGCCTGTTTTGCCAAATAAAAGGCCATTTTTGGGAGGTCTGCAGAATGCAAAACCTTTTTTTAAAATTTGCCTCTTCAAAATCTTGGTGCGTCTTATACTCCAAAAATACGGTACTTCTCAACTTACAACCATTTGTTTAGTGGCCATTGGAAGTTATTGTGGCACTGAACAAAGTGACTTACAACTGTTCCTCATATGTCTGTCACAACATCCCCATCATCTTGTGGTCAAAATTGGGGGGGGGGGGCGCTTGTCAGCAGGCATATTTATGATGGTTGCAGTGCTCTGGGGTCATGTGATCACTATTTGCAATCTTCCTAGCTGGCTTCTTATAAGCAAAGTCAATGGAGAAGGCCAGACTGGCTTAATGACCACATGATTCATTTAACAACTACACTGATTCTCTTAACCATGGCAAAAAAAACATTGTAAAATTGGGTGTGATTCACTTAATAACTGCCTTGCTTAGCAACAGAAGTTCTGGTCTCAGTTATTGTCATAAATTGAGGACTACCTGTATTTATTGGATAAGCTGCCAACTGATAAAAAGTTAAAGAGGATATAAGAACTCAAAACATATCTGGAGAAATAGCTCCAGAATGTGCTTGTTAGTATTTTCCTCCCCCCCCCCTGAGTCATTGGGGAGTATCTGTTTATCCAGAATTTCAGCTGTAATTCTTGTAGTTAATTATTAAATGAGAGGTTTGTTCCTGTGATTCATGGATGGCTTTGTGTTCTAATAAAAAGTGTAGTGTATATAGCTAAACATTAGTTTGGGGAACATTCTGTGTGATAAAACTATTATGTCATTTCATATAAAGCATGATTTACCCTCAACTACCCCCACCCCAAATCCAGGCAGATCACCGTAAAACCAGTTTCCATCTGGAAGAAAAAAGTGGCAAAAATATGTACAGAACTAGGTTAGATACTGTACATGGGACTAAAAATCAAAGAAACATTCAGCTCATAGGCAAAATACATGCTTCATTCCCTCACATTTCTTATGCTACAGGATGATAGATCACTTTACAGCATATATTTTTAAAATCCTTCCAAAGTTAAAAAAAAATAAGTTGGGGGAGGAATGAGAAAGCCTGATAAACTGCAAAAGAACACTCTATTTTCGGTGGGAACATATTGGATATTCTAGAGATAAATTGATATGCTACAATGTGGCACCCACTTCCCTTGAAGTAAAATGACACTTCATTACAAGTTAATTATGTGCAGTGTGACAGATCTGCAGTGATTGAATGAAATACTTCAAAATCTGGGTGCCAGATACTGAAATCTTTTAAAGATCTCTCTGGTAGCAAAGTAGAGGCAAGATTGCAACACAATGGCTTGTGTTTTATAGACTTGAGACATTTCTTTATAATGTGATTGACTTGTAAACATTTTGTCATATTTCTTTAGGAACTAATTCAAAGCTGGTATTCTGTAGTTATGTTTCCCCTTAAGTTCTGTAGCAGCATACCCTCTGCCTCTTGGGGTTAGCTGGTAATGTCCAAAGTAGAGCAATATATCATCATTGAACATTGAGAGTGATGTGTGTCACAAAGAACAAAGTAGGACAGCTTGTTTTATAGAGAAAAATCCCCCGAACTCTGATAACAATATTCTACTCTTGGCAATCACAAACTCCCTGGGAAGCAGAATGTTCATTATGTTGACATCCTACTTTCTTGTCAAACATTGTGCATTCCCTGTCAAGCTGTAGCAACACATATCTGAACTGATTATTTCTAGACACTGTGGCTCTTCTGACATCGATAGCCAGCATGCAATGTTTTGCCCTTATTAATTCTGTGCTTGAATATAGTTCTGATTATATTAATTAAATGATAGTGAACCTGTTAATGTTTATTCTAATTCTGAATTAAATGATTTCACCATAATTGTCAACTTTGAATTGTTTAGTTTATATTGTCATTGCACCTCGTACAATGAAATTAAATGCCATTTTCAGTGTACATTATAACTATACAAATAAAACACAAACACACATCCTTCACATTCTATACAATTGAATTGAAAACCTGATATTGCATTAGTATTGCACTATACAATAGAATTCAATATGGTTACTGCCCTGGGATAGAAGCTGTTTTTCAGCCTATTTCTGTTTGTTTTTATTATCCTGTACCAGATGGTAAAAGTTAAAAAAGGATGAGATGGAGCTTTAAGAATGTTTTGAACTTTCTTAAGGCAGCGGCAGCTATAAAGCTCTTCCAAAGAAGGGAAAGGGCAACCAATGATGTTAACCCTCTGGAGTGCTGTCCGATCTGCCACTGTGCAATTGGCAAACCATACACAGATGCAGTAAGTTAAAATATTCTCTATGGTGCAGGGTAGAAGGTCACCAGCAGTTTTTCATCCAGTTGTTCAGCAACCAGTGAGTACTGGAACATAAGGAAAGGTAAAAAATAATAATTCTATATCAGTCAGGGAAGATTTAATTGGTACAGGAAACTATTATAGAATGGGATCTATCTATCCTGGATAGTTTTATCATAGCAATAGTAGCACTTAGACTTACATACCGCTTCACAATGCTTTATAGGCATCTCTAAGCAGTTTGCAGAGTCAGCATATTGCCCCCAATAATCTGGGTCCTCATTTTACTGACCTTGGAGGGATGGAAGGCTGAGTCCACCTTGAACCAGTGAGGATCGAACTGCTGGCAGTCAGCATAATTAGCTTGCAATCTAACCACTGCATGACTGTGGATCATCAATCACCACCACCACCACCACCACCATTTCTGTATGAGTGAATGTATACACTATTTTGGTACCCGAGGCAAACACATCTAAATGCTATTCATTTGCTCTACATCAGCTCTTGATACACTATATTGCCGAAAGTATTCGCTCACCCATTCAAATAATCAGAATCAGGTGTTCCAATCACTTCCATGGCCATGGGTATATAAAATCAAGTGCCTAGGCATTCAGACTGTTTTTACAAACATTTGTGAAAGAATGGGTCGCTCTCAGGAACTCAATGAATTCCAGCGTGGAACTGTGATAGGATGCCACCTGTGCAACAATCCAGTCGTGAAATTTCCTCACTCCTAAATATTACACAGTCAACTGTCAGCTGTATTATAAGAATGTGGAAGTGTTTGGAAACGACATCAACGCAGCCACGAAGTGGTAGGCCACGTAAACTGACGGAGCGGGGTCAGCGGATGCTGAGGCGCATAGTGCAAAGAGGTTGCCAACTTTCTGCAGAGTCAATCGCTACAGACCTCCAAACGTCATGTGGCCTTCAGATTAGCTCAAGAACAGTATGCCGAGAGCTTCATGGAATGGGTTTCCATGGACGAGC